AAATGGAATGAATTAGGTTTTGGTTTGGTTTTATATTTAAATAAAGTTGGTGGGGTAGGTAGTAGGGTGGGTATATATTTAATTTAATTTAAAAATAGTATTATTAATATTAATTGTGAAATTAAAACCTGATTTTTTATTAAATAAAGTAAAAACCTGATTTTTTAAAAGTCAAAACTAAACAACTCGTTTAGTGTAATTTCCTCTTTATTTTTCTTTTCATAATTTTTATTAATTTCGGATCGGATCATTGGATCGGATATCCGATAACATAACAAATCGGATATGGATTTAACAATCAAATATCTGTTGGATTATCGGATCGGATCGGATCAGATAATTTTCTTATCGGATAGGATGGGTATAAGCATATTCGATCTATATCCGATCCATTTACAGCCCTAACTGCATGCTTGCCAAATTTACGTCCCTAAATTTAGAAGACAGATAGATACTTTCTGATATACATGGTTTAGATTTCTTTTTCAGAATTAAAAGTGCTAAAAGAAATTTTTCAAAAGGAAAAAAATAGTCCAGTGAATATTCTTTATTACATAAAAAGTTGATTATTTTTTGAATGCATCTATTTTTCATAGAAGATTGTTATCAATTCCAGTTACAGTTGTTTTTGTGGAGAGGAGTTTTTCAAAATGCGCTTGTTAGGGAAAAACTATAATGCGAATATAATGAATAGGATCCCTCGAAATTGAGGATAATAACTTTAATGATTGATTTTGACTTTGAACTATAAGGATATTTTAATGAAACCCAAACAAGCACTAATCTTGATAACATCGTATATCAGATCAACTATTTCCTAAAAACGTTTAAATGGATTTAGCTGTATATTATCCCAAAAACAAAAACGATGTTAATATAGCTTGATATCGTAGTATTGTTCTTTGATCAAATTTTTGCAAGAATTGAACCCAATTAGCAATTTTTCTGAAACCCAATATTTGATTTTCCTGTTCATCTTCGATTTTAACAATGGCGGAGCTGGAGGAATTGTGGGCTACGTTTGGTGGGGGTGATGGTTTTTGACCAACCGTGATGACCTTAAAAACCAAAAATCAACGTACCAATTCTTACCAAAATAAATTGGACAGAATAAACGGTAAGGATATGAATAAAAACTTCAAAGCAAAGAATATAACATCAAATGAAGTGTATGCAAAGTCGAGGCAAGAGTTGAACTCTTTGTCCTTAAGTCAAATTTGCCTCGCAACAGCGCCTACGGATGATGGCAATTGACTCCCAAGATACGACGACAAATTTCTTGTATTAGCAACATTTCAGAACACAAGAACAATGAACCAGAAATTGGTTTTTGTACTCCTTCAAATGAAAAATTAAAAAACATCTTTTATGCAGAATTTTGGCTAGGAAAAGGATGAATGTAATGTTATGCTATGATTGCATATCATTGGGATGAACAAATGGACGTCTCAAGTGCCTAATTTATAGAGAATGAAAGGTTGTGAGTGAAGTGCCGCGTCCCAAACCCAAGGGTCGCGGCATTTGATGTCGCTAGCCTGTCGTCATTGCATCGCTCGAGCGTAAGAAACAGAGACTCTGTCGCTCGCCTATCACTAGCCTGTCGCTCGAGCGACAACCTCCTCACTCGAGCTCTAGGTGAGCTACGGAGTTGGTCAAATTTCCAGCCAATTTCTTCTCTTCCAACTTTAGACCGTAATTTCTCATTCACCCAGAATTGGTTTGGAGATTTCAAATATACCACGACGATCTACTCGACCAGTAAAACAAGTTAGCCTATTTATTTCCATACTTTGACTATCGGATCACATCCGAATATTTGGTCGAAGTTGACACGTAAATCACTTTTTCATGATTTTATGAATTTCAACAGTTCCTGCATCAGATGATTCAAATTCTGGGGAGGTAGATAATAAGGGGGAGAAGCAGGTACAGGGTAAGTGGTTTACACAAGAAGACGACGAAATTGTGAAGAAGGCTGTCTATAAGTACATAGAGGATCATGACTTGGGTGAAGAAGGTTTGTACGTAATTTTCAATCCTAGAAAGTACCCTGAATTGAAAAACTGTTGGAAGAGATGGGGAATGCGATACCATATAGACCCTATAGATCTATCTATTTTCGTGCTACAAAATTGTTTCAAAGTGCTGAGGAACGCAGATGGACTCAAGAAGAGTATGAAATGGTTCTGAAGTCCCAGAAGGAGCATGGGAACCAGTGCAAGGCATTGGCAGATGATCTTGGAAAACATAGAACGCATGTAAGAAATGCTTGCCTAAGAATAAAATTACCCAACTTGAAGGAAGGAAGGTGGTCTCAGGAGTACCAGGGTTTACTTGATCTAGTAAATGCTGATCTGTAACAGAGAGTCAGAGAAGAGATCAAGGCATGGCATTTTACGGGATAATATTTGTTGGACGGCAATTAGCGATAAACTGGCCACTCGAACTCAACCACCCAAGTGCTGTATTAAATGGTATAGTCAGTTAACATCACCTATGGTTGCTGAAGGTGTTTGGGCTGATGCTGATGACTATCGCCTAATTGGTGCCCTTTTTAGCTTAGACGCAAGTTGCATAGAAGATGTGCATTGGGATAACCTTCTTGATCACAGGTCTGGAGACGTGTTGGAAGCGATGGAACCAATGATTCTTCACATAGGTCACCACGGGAGCAAGTCATTTGCTGAACAAGTTGAAGTATTGGCACATCGAAATCGTCTATATCTATTTGAAGCAAGAGAGGCTTGGGACAGTAACTCAGTAAACCAAGGGTTCCATGATGTGGCCATTTTATAGCTGACCCTGTTTTTTATATTTTTGTCGTATGAGGCAATTTTCCACCAATAAACATTGTATCAAATTTCACGCGACAAGGGAATTATGGCCAATTTCCAGTTGCATTTCCTTCCAGATAGATGAAGCTTTTATCTATAGTTTTTTCTCAACTTTCTGCGATAGGGTTGAATCAAACTTGATTATATCCCATTGGCCAGTTTAATAAAAGAATTAAAATCTACAAGAGAATTGAAAGTTATTAGGCTCCGTTTGATACACCATATTTTCCATGAAAAATTGAAAATATTTTCCATTTTCCAAAATTTTCACCTTTTGAGGAAAACAAATTCTTCATGTTTTGATTGGTAAATATTTTCCAAGTTTTTTTTTTTTTGGCAATTGGAAAAAATTCTATACACAATGGTAAAAAAATTTATCATTTTTATTGACAATTTTCATGCAAAACAAAGTCAAACGAATGGTATTCGGTATGGTAATTTTTTTATTTTGGCAATTGGAACAAATTCTAAACTCAATGGTAAAAAAAATTATCACTTTAGTGGACAATTTTCATGTATGGTAATTTTTTCTAATTAATTTTTTTTTTTTTTACTTTTTGGTAATTGGAATAAATTCTGGACTCGATGATAGAAAAAATTATCACTTTAATGGACAATTTTCATTAAAAAAAAAAAAAAACAAAGCCAAACTAAAACCAAACTTTCAACATTTTCCATGAAAAATCATATCAATCAAACACAATTAATTACAATTCTCAATAAAACAATTTCTAAACAAATCAATTCCCTATAAAACATTTTCTTTCCACTCATTTTCCACATTTACAATCAAATGAGCCCTAATGTCTTTCGATTCCCATCCAACTACTCCTAATAATCTATATTTTGTATTAGAAGAATACTTTTATCTATAAATACTTATTTTTCATATAACTTTAATTGTGATTCAATTATGAATTAATTTAAATTGCATTATATTCTAGAAAAGAAAATGAAAAATAATAGACAGGTACCACGGCTGCAGAATTTATGGGTCCATGGACGGGTCTATCCATCCATCTCGGGAACCAGGCCAACTCGCGATCCATACAGTGCCTAAACCAGGCCTAGTTTCAGGCGAGTCAGTCAGAGACACCCATTTTGACACCATGTAGGGGCTTAAAGAGGTACAAAATTCGTGATATAACAACACTCACATTTCGATCATATCACATAATGGACAAACATTTCACACATCCAAACTCACTTGTTCTGTCTTTATGATTTCTGCAAGGAACCTCGACAATTAACGCTTTAAAAGCTAAAATATGAAGGTTGCATTATACCTTCTCTGTGAAAGGCCATGTCATTGCTGTCATTAAAATAGAGAACTAACACTATAATTAAATTGACTATTACGCACTAGTTGGAAAATTTATCTCAATACAAAGCCGTATCAAGGCAATCAAAGTTCATATTTCACACGAAAAAATAAAAAATAAGAACTTTTTAGATTCTACTTTCTTCCACTCCTATGTTTCAACTACATTTTTTGAGCTTCTTTTGTCTTCCTTAGTGTTTGCCACTTGTGTCCATATAGAAGCTCAAAGTTGAAAAATCAAAATTTTTGACACCGTTGAAGAGGTTATTTGAAGAAATACACCTTTCACCTGGAAGTCACAAAAGTAACTATGGCCAAGGCAAGAGATGCTACATACAAGAATTTCTTTAATAAACTCATGATTCTTCATTGCCTGTAGTTTCATGAAGCAGTAGCAGTAGCAGTTAGCAACTCGATTCCTAGAAACCAAAGAAATATAAATGGAGGAAATTGTAAAGTTACCAGCTGCACTGTTCGTCACTGGGTTCTGTTGCACCTTTCTTGCCATCCGTTTTGTAGCCTCAGCTGTAATTTTGTCGACCCAAAGTAAAAAATTTCGATCAACACAAAAAATAGATAGAACAGTTTAAAACTGCATGAAGCTTAGTGGATACTTGAATGTTCGTGTTAGCTATATGTTACTATATATGATTGAGCATAAT